GAACTTTGGCTCCTACCAGGAGGGAACTAAGGAGTTCTGGTAGCGTAGAGGTTACGAGTCGGGGTGCCAACCTCAAGGTCAGCAGTTCGAAACTACCAGCAGCTCCATGGGAGAAAGATTAGGCTTTCTGCTCCCGTAAAGATTTTCAGCCTCGGAAACCCTGTGCAGGATCACTATGAGTTGGAACTGACTCCACAGCACTTAACAACAACAACAGGAGGGAACTGGGAGTCATTACAGGGTTAAAGCAGAGGAAGTGGGGTGGACTCAGGAATTCACCAGCTGACCTGGCTGCTACTGAACAACAGTGGGACCTTCAGGGAGGACACCACAGTCCTCCAGGCGAGAGAAAGGGTGGTAGTCCATGCCCTACAGATGGCCTCGTTTGAGAGAGGGATACACGCATGTCCTTCTGAAACCCTCTGTGCTGTGTCTACGCAGCTGTTGTAGCTGGCTGTCTGGGGGCAGGGAGAGTGTTGCCTGAAGTCTACCAGGCACCCCGCTCCAACCCTGGGAGCACCTGTGTGGGGTGTTCTCATTCTAACTGGGAATGACCTCTTCCTGCCTCTCACTCCATCTTAGCCCCCAAAAGGGTCTCCTGACACCCAGCCTTCCCCCTTGCTCGGATGTCCCCTAGTGTCCAACTCCCTCCACCCCCTGTCCCAGGCCATGTCTCCTACCAACACCACATACCCCACCAACCAAGCCCTCAACAACCTTGCTGTGGTGCCTGGGTCCCTGTCTTCCTTTCCTCCAGCTCCAGCTCAGACACCACCTCCTCCGCCAAGTCACCCTCATCCTCCCTCCCCCCAGGCTGGGCCAGCTGCCTCCTCTGGGCCCCCACCCATGCCTGAGAGATCTCCATCACTGCCCCATACTCTATCTGTGGTTCTTGTCTGGGCCCCCAGCTCCACCCCACGGAGAACCCCACACAGAAGGGGCACACCGAGATGATTTGAGCAGACTCTCACCCCAACCCACTTCTGCCTCTCCCTGCGCTCATGCCATCCTTTCCCTAGGGCAGACCCTGGCCCCATGGGAGACATGGACAGGTCTCCAGACCCAGGGGTTGGAAGGACCAAACTGAACCCACAGGTTCCACGAAATCCTCCGGAGAGCTTGAGGCTGCCTCACAGGAGGGAGCTAGAAAAGTAGAGTTCGGGCTAGGATGATTAATAGGACATTCATCTCTGCCCCTCAGGGGGAGATGCCGCATAGAAAATGGTTGTCAAGGGCAACACATTCTTCCCTGGATAACTGGGGCCTGCGTCACCCATGGGGCGTAGGGTTTCCGTGAAGCTGGGTCTGGAATGTCTGAGATGAAAAAACTTAGAGATCTTCTAGGTTGGGAACTCATTTTACAGAGGAGAAACTGAGGCCAGGGACGGCTCACACTGTTGAGGGATAAGGGCATGGAAGCCCAGTCCTCTGCCTCCTCCGTGGTCTCTGTCCCAAGACATCCAGGCCAGGATCCATATTGGGGTGGGATGGAAGAGAAGCTGAAGACAAGGATGTATGTAGATGCAGGGGCTCCCAGCTTCACTCACAACAGGAGAGGGAAGCAGACAGCCCAGAAAGGTGGTCAAGGTTCTAGCATGAGGGGGTGAGGGCCAGGACCAGAAAGTTCAGAGAATCCAGTCACCAGCTGTGCCTCCCCTGTGAGTAAGACATTCTATCAGGGTGGGGGCCAGGTCTGAACCGTCTGCTTGTTTGGGTCACAATTCTTAGTGATTTGGCAGTTAGATAATGATGTCATGTTTGGCAGTTATATAATGATGTCATGTTTGTTGTTGTTATGTGCCACGGAGTCGGTTCCAACTCATAGCGACCCTGTACAGGGTTTCCGAGGCTGCACATCTTTACGGGAGCAGAAAGCCTCATCTTTCTCCTGCAGAACGGCTGGTAATTTTGAACTGCCTTGAGGTTCGCATCCCGATTTGTAACCACTACGCTACCAGAGCTCCTTGATGTCATGTTTAGCAGTTAGATAATGATGTCATGTTTGGCAGTTAGATAATGAAGTCATGCTTGGCAATTAGATAATGATGTCATGGCAGTAGATAATGATGTCATGTGATGATTCCCCAGAATGTGGAGATGAGAACATTTCTCCAGAGCTGGTGCTGAATCCAGCATCCTAGCCTCCTAAACTGTGAGACACTAAACTTAAATTGTTAAAGTGCCACCCCCACCCCCCAAGTGGTGTTTGTGTTATAGAGAACTAAGTCAGAAATGTGGCCTTGATTGGAAATAGAGTCTTTGCAGATGAAGATGAAGTCCTCCTGCAGTAGGGTGGGGACTTCACAACTTAAGTCCCCATGTGTGGGGTCAGCCTTTGGACTCCCCTGGTGGTTGTGGGAGTGACAATCACCACACTGGGTGATGAATGGCCCCTCTCCCTAGAGCACCAGCCCACCAGCTGCTACCACCACCACCATGGGCCCTTTTGGGGTCACCGCTTCTAACAGTGTCTCCCCCCTCCATTAGGTGCTACTGAGAGCAAGGGATGGAAGGAAAGTCCCTGAAGGTTGTGAGCAGCGGATGGAATGTGACTAGGTTCACATGCTCTGAGGAGAGTGGATGTGGGATCAGGAACGGAAGTGGGGAGACCAGTGAGGGGACAACTGGATACGTCCTGTAAGAGAGCGAGGTGGCTGGCCTGGGGGTTATGACAGTGATGGAAAGAGATGGTCCAGAGACAAGGAGGAAGGGAAGTGAGCCCAGAGGGTGGAGGGCTGCCTGTTGGTCCCACTGCCTGGTTTCCAATATGATGTCTTTGATTTGAGGCCACATGAATCATCTCTGACTCATCTCCATCATCGCTCTTTCTCCTTTTTAACAATGAACTTGTTTTTAACCACCGAGCCATTATGTTACGGGCCAATGGATTTCAAGACACTTCCCCAAATACAGTCCTGGAGAAAATGTCAAAATAAAAGAGTCTCCACACACAAAGTGGTTGTCACTGTGAGCCCTGTTCCTAGTTGTCATGAGCTGGTCCATGCAGGGTTGAAGTGTACCTGTCCGGGTTTTCAAGCATGACCCCTGGAAGAAATGTTCGGATTTGCCATGACCTGGTTCGGTTGCCCTCTTTATGTGATTTGTGAAATCGTGACTTTGTTTGTCAGCACACCTGAGGAAGAGCCCCCAGCATCAGGTCACAGGGCTATGTTTGAAACATAGCCCGGTTGCTCGGGCTATGTTTCTTTGTAAAATATTAACAAATTATTCATATTCTTGTGGAACTCACGGATGTTAAGATGGCGCCCCCCCTTGTCACGTCTTCTGAGGACCTGCTCTACAGGAAGCTGGGGGGCGTGGTCACTTGAAGAGCATTTTGCAGGGACATTCAGTCCTGGCTCTCCTGTCCCAGTCCTTGGGCACTCCCACCCAATTAACGTGCCTGCATTTGCACCCATCCCCACCTTAGATACTGTCCACATCAGAGAAGGCTCAATTCCACTGGTCCCCTCCAGAATAGTTCTAGAATCCATCTTCTCCTCTCCAACCCTCTATGTCTGCCCTGGTTCTGTCTGTCTGGAAGAACAGGCCAGCCCTCCCCTCCCTGGCCTCCCGGTCACTGTCCATGCCACTGGGGGCAGGACTGTTACACCTGGTCTCCTTTGCCCCTCTATTTGACTAACTTCCATTTGCCCTTCCTCATCCATTACCCTCAGGAATGGCCCTGGGCCCCTAAGTGAGATCAATTGAGGACATCATGGAGGGCTTTCTGGGGCTATTCCTTCCCCTGGTTGACCCCTGGACCCTGGGAGGGTTCCTTTAACAAGCACCTGTGGGCCCCTCTTCTACCCCTCCAGTGCCAGGCCCCTGGAGCACATCTTTCTGAGAGACACACTGCTGAACCCACCTGGCTGTGTAACAGGTGAGCAGGGTTCTCTGGGAAAGCAGACTTCCAAAGCACAGGTTGTCTTGGATGCTGTCAGGTCCATTCCGATTCCCAGAGATGCTCTGGGAGCATCTATCTATTAGCAGCCGAGCACTTAACCATTGTCCTACCAGGGATACCCCCGGCACAAGTAGGGATGGCATTCAGGAGAGCCTGGGCTGGTGGCAGAGTCTTAAGCAAGAACACGGTGAAGACAGGTTGGGTTTCCCCATGTGAAAGCTCCCAGCTCAGAACCAGGAACAACAGGAAAGGAGCCAGACCACATTTATTCACCTCTAAAGGCAGGGACAGCCTGCTGGTGGCTGGGAGCCATGGTCAGACTAGAGGGCCAGAGCGGGATCCCAGGGCACAGGGTGGATTTTATAGGAGGTGGGTAAGTCACTGAGCTTTGGTTTCTCCCATTTAGAAAAGGTTGCATCTGTGTTTAGATGGCTCACAACTGACCAATTAGCAATAGCAAAGTTATTCATTCCTCTGGCCGGGTCAAGATAGGAGCTCTGATCTCTCCGGAGCATACTCAGAGAGCCACCAGCCAACAGGTTTCAGAATGGGGATGTGCGCGGACTATACAGCAGTAGCGGAGTACTGGCGCCCCCGTGTGGCGATGGTGGGACCCACCGGCCCGGCAGCCCTATGAAAGCTTGGGGGATTTGAACATGAAATCATTTCCTTCCAGATCAGTCCCTAGGGTCCAAACAAGGACACTGAAGGGGCTCCTTTGGGGTGACTGAGTGGGTGTGACCCCAAGGGTATCTTCGAGCATAACCTCCCCAACAATAACATGACATCTGGACACGAAGTCATCTGAGGTCCAAAGTCAGGAGCTGTTTTTCTGGAAACCTCTCAATACGTGTTTGTGGAGTGGGTGGACAAGTGTGTGAACTGTTCGTGTGGCGGGAACCAGGAGTATCCCCCTCAGACAGATCCCGCCCACAAGATCTTCACCTTCACCGGACGCAGTCTTGGTGCCAGGGAGGCAGGGCACTAATGAGGGGATTGCAGGCAGCTGGGGGCAGTGTGATGGGGTGTAGAGGCCTGGGGGGGTCCTGGGGCTGGAAGGAGCACTGCACACCCTATCACCCTCCCCCCGGCTTCAGCCCACGGGCAGCGTGGTGGCCTCGCTGGGCGGGATGTGGTGGGTCATGTAGCGTTTCCCGATGAAGGAGCCAATGCGCAGCTGCTCCGGAGATGGGACCTCCTCTGGCAACCAGAGGCTGGAGCTGGTGGGGAGAGAAGCCAGGCTGTGCTTCTGCAGTAGGTGAGGTCGGCCCGCACCTGCCCTGCAGACCCCTCATCCTGCAGCCTCCCCTCTTCTCCCTTCCAGAATCCACAGGTGGCCTCCTCCTCCAGGAAACCCCTGACTACCCTGTTATCAGCTCAGAGTTAAAAACATAGGTCCAGGAGAAGGACACACTGGAGTCCCGTCCCTGTCCATTCACTCCCTCCTGGGCTGCCTCACTTAAAACCACAGTGTGGGAAGAAGAGGTGCAGCTGGCGGGCAAGGGAGGGCCTACGGGGTACAGGGGTGTCCTCACTCACAAGCGCATGGTGGAGGCGGCCAGGAAGGCCAGCAGTAGGAGGCCAGCCAGAGAAGAGAGGATGGTGGTGATGACGATCATGCCTCCGCTTCGCCGCCCTGGCCACATGTCGATGGAGCCTGGGGTCCTCCCTGCACACACACATCTGCTGGCACCTCCCCCCCAAACCTGGACCCAGCTATGTGTCCAGCTCAGCCCTGGCCACCCACCATTCCAGTCTCATGGCCCACTTTGGTCCTGTGCAGGACAGCAGTGCCCTTGGCTTCCAGGTTTTCAGAAGACAAACTTGCTTGCCCTCACCTGTGAGACCCCTGACAGCCACTTCAGCAGGCCTCTCCACCCCATCTCTGGCTTTTAGATCATGCTTGGGGCTTCCGTTCTTCCTGGCTACCTTCTCTCCCACCAGAACAACGCTTGGCAATGGGGCTGGCTCCCTGTAGGAACCTCAGGAGCCTGGGCAGGGGCCTGGCACCCAACACTTAGCAACATGGGGAAAGGACTGACCCAGGGCCTCTACTCTGCACTCAAAGGTGCTGCTGAGTGGGTGGCTTTGGGGTCTGTTTTGTAGAAGGTGATAAGTTGACCAGAGAGGCAAGCAGAATTCCCCAGGCTACCTTGGTGAAGAGCAATGGGGTCTGACCACCTTGTCTCAGCCTTGGGTGAACCGCTGGGGTCCATCAAGAGAAACTTCACGCTGAGGGACAGAGGAGAGGGTTAAAGAAGGGGTGGGATTCCTCAGATGTCTCAGTCCCCTGGGCAGGGTGCCCTCCAGTCTGGCCTCTGGTCTAGTCTGTGGTGGGAGGGCATAGCGACTCTCTCCGGGGCCTTAGTCCCACCTCTCTGACCACAGTGACCTCTACTAGCTGCCCCATCCATCTGAATTGTGGCTCTGCTGGGCTGAGCACTGTGATTTAAGGCGCCCCTGATGCTAAATGTCACACGCAGTCAGCAGGGAAGGAAGGAGACTTATGGGGGCACTTAGGACTGGGCTTCCCTGAAGACATGCTGATTTGGGGGAGCCAGGGAGGGTGAGGTCAGGGAGAGGGGCAGGACAGAAGTTCTGGTAAGTTTCTGAGCATCTAAGGGCCCATTCAGGTTGGCTCTAAGGGTAACCGTCTCTGGTGACTGCTGGGGCTGGGGGCAGGGTGGAGAGACTGGAGCTGCCAGGGAGTGGTCATGAGAGACCAGGGAGCTGGCAAGTCTGGGTGAGAGGGCAAAGGAAGGCGGTCTCAGGACTCTGCTCTGCCCCTGCCCCACCCTGCACAGCCTCCTCCCTTGCTCCGGCTTCTTCCAGATACATGCGCCTGGTCTCCAGGGTCAGGCAACCTTAGTCTGAACACCTGCTTCCCTCCCAGCTCTACCCTTGACCTTGATAAGCCACTTGGCACTTTGCACCTCAGTTTCTCTGTCTGTAAAATGGGGTGGTAGCCAATTCTGCCCTTACCTACCTGGCTGTGCCCAAACTAAGCAGTCTCAGATCTGCTGGTAGAAGGAAGGGGTTTGGCAAGACTGGCTCTGCATGCCCCTGACTCTAGCCCCTTGCCACCTCTTCTCAGGTCTCCTGGAAAGTCTGTATTCTGCCCACCCATCTCTGGGAGGAGGGGCTTGCACTCCTCCCCTGCAGTCTGTCTGTTAGGTAGGAGGCTGTGAAGGGTAATCTTGGCTCCTAAGCTCAGCCCCTATCCCAGGTGCTAGGGAGAGCCACTTACCTGTAAGGCCCAGGACTGGGGAGGGGGGCGTTGCAGTAGGGCCACTGGTGGAGGTCCTCAAGGCAGCCAGCATCATTGCCCACCCGCAGCAGGGGCACGCTGCCACCACCATCCATGGGATCCACACAGGGCAGCTGGATCAGGGACAGGGGCAGCGTCATATAATGGCCGTTGGTCATCAGCCGGGGGTAGGTGGGGATCTCAGCCAGTGTCCTCGGGTTCTGGAAATCTCTGGAGGCTACAGAATAACGGAATGGATAGATGGGAGTGTAGGGGACAGGCAAGGCCCTGCCCTAGTGATGGTGGGTCAGTGTTCATCTACCTCCCATCTAATTTGCCAGCCCTCCATGCAACCCCCCCACCCCTGCTCCCTCAGGGTCCAGAGAGGCAGATATCAGAATGCCCCCCTCTAGAAGTCCTGGTGTGGTGGTGTAGGATAATGTGCAGGATTACAAAGTCAGTTTGAACCGTAAGGTCGGCAGTTCAAACCCACCAGCCACTCCTCGGAAACCCTATACAGGGTGGCTAAAGGGTCTGAATAAACTCAATGGCACTTAACAATAGTCCTATAGAGCCCTGGTGTGGCACTCAATGGAACCTCTTTAAAGTGTTAAATAGCAAAGATGTCACCTTGAGGACTAAAGTGCTTCGGTCCCACCTGGTGTAACGGCAAGGCTGGCAGTTCAAACCCACCAGCTGCTCTCAGAAACCCTATACAGGGGCACTATGAGTTGGAACCGACTGGATGGTACACAACATGAGGAGCCTGTTCAGGATGGAGCCCAACTTCCTATCCACACCCAACTCCCAAAGGAACTCCTCTGCCTCAGCCTCTGCATTCCCACTGACTTCCTGCTGGGAAAAGTCCTGTTTACCCTTCCAGCCCTGATGTCTCCTCCTAGAGGTACCAGGCAGCACTTGGGGTCACCCGGGCGTCCACACAGCCCTGACCAGCATTTCCCATCTCACCCAGACTCAGGCCCACACCCACACTCACCATTGCTGAAGGCTACTACCAGCCAGACTGTGTCGTTAGCCTGGCCGTGCCCGTCGAGGATGCAGCGCGGCTGGTCCAGGGAGAACGTGGTGGCTGTGACCTTCCCCTCCAGGTCCCAGGCTGTTATCTGAGGTGTGTAGGGGACCAGCTCTGCAGTCACAAGGGACAAGGGTGAGTGGTGGCCACCGAGGGAAGCATGGACATCTCTGGGGACACTCAGCAGGTGGCCAGCCCATCTGAGGACCCCACTCACCCAGGTTCTTGCTGGGCCTGAGCCAGCCCAACATCAGGAGCAGCAACCACGGCCAACCACAGAGGAGCCCCATGCTGGCAAGCCAGCACCCAGCTCTCTACATCCACAGCCTGGGCGGCCTCCCTGCCACCCCGCCCCCAGCCCAGAAGAGCTGGTTTGTCAGGCTGCCAGGCTGACCTCTGGCTGGAAAGACTTGTAGCTCCAAATGCTCTGGGGTCCCCACCGCAGGGGAGTGGGTGTGGCCAGGGAGGGAGTGGTCTGTATGCCCAGCCCCCAACCCCCCCATCTCCCCAGCACCCGAGTCAATATCTAGACCTGGGCCCCACCAGACCTCCCAGCTCTGGGGAGGAGGGGCCAGCCCCGGGGAATGCTGGTCAGGGCTGCATGCATGAGATTCCTGCGCTCCAGATGCCAGGAGCCTCCCTCAGGTCTCCTATCCCCACCCAGGCCCTGGGGAGCGGGGATATCAGGGGCCATCTCCAGGCCACACCCCTTCTCTCTGGGGCAGCCTGGGCTCCTCAGCTCCCTTGTTCAAAGAAGCTGGACTCAAACATCAGCGAAATCCTTCATAGCTGACAAATTGTCCACTTCCATTACTTCTTTGGGTACTACGTACGTATTTTATTGCGATCTCCTGAGTCCCGGTGTGGTGCTGTGGAATGATTTAGACCACAAGGTCGGTTTGAACCGGAAAGTTGTAGTTCAGACTCACCAGCTGCTCCTTGGAAACCTTATACAGGGTAGCTATGAGTCAGAATTGACTTGATGTCACTTAATAACAACAATTCACTTATTATCAAATGCCCTTTTGTTGTTGTTGGTGCCATCGGGTCGGTACCAACTCACAGTGACCTTGTAGCTTATGAACAATAGAAACACTGCCGGGTGCCAATCTCACAGATACACTTGAGCCCATTGCTTCTGCCACTGTGGTGTTCACAGTTATCTCTCTTCATTTTGAGTTGGGCTCCATTAGCAAATGAAGGTCCCGAAAGCATTACTCCATTTGCATCATCACAGCCAACTGTTAATTTTGAGGAGGCAGCTCTTCTCCAGTCGTATTCTGAATGCCTTCCAACCTGAGGGGCTCATCTTCTGGCACTACATCTGACAATATTCTGGTGTTCTTCATCATGTTTCAATATTCAATAATCTGGTGCTGATTAGTGTTCCACTGCTATTCATAAGGTTTTCAGTGACTAAATATTCAGTTGTCCATCTCTCTATCCTAGTGTGTGTTAGTCTGGAAGCTCAGCGGAAACCTGTCCATCATAGGTGACCCTGTCATTGTTAAGTGCTGTTGAGTTGGTTCTGACCCATAGTGACTCTGTATAGGGCTTCCATGGAGCAGCTGGTGAGTTTGAACTGCCGACCTTGCAGTCCAGTGCATTATCCTGCAACACCACACCAGGACTCCATGGGTAACCCTACTGGTATTTAAAATACCAGTGGCATAGCTTCCAGAATCACAGCAACACGTAAAACCACCACAGTAGGACAAACTGACAAGACAAATCAGTTCCTTTTTAAGTTAAGGTTTTAGACTACTATAAATCACCAAATATTCCAGGACATTTGTATCACCCCAAGAGACACCAGATCCACTCTCCCCCACCCTCTGGCAACTGCTAACCTACTTCCTGTCTCTGGAGTCTAGGTATTTCATATCCATGCTAGCCTAGTGGGTTACCCATTGGGCTTCTAACTGCAAGGTCAGCAGTTTGAATCCACAAGCCGCTCTGCAGAAGGAAGATGAGTTTCTTCTCTTAAAAAGTTATAGACTTGGGAACCCTAGGCAGCAGTAGACATTACAGGCAGTCCTCGGATTATGAAGGAGATCATTGCCTAAGTATGTCTTTAAGTCAAATGTGCATCTAAGTTGGAACAGGTGCATATGGTCCTTGCTTAGCCTTCCTGGTGACCCTATGGGTGAGATATTGGGCTGCTGACCACAAGGTCACAGGTCAAACCCACCAGCCATTCCAAGGGCTGTCGGCTCCCTATGAAGATTTAGTCTCGGAAACCCAACATAGGGTCACACTCACAGTTGGAATCAACTCAATGGCAGAAGGTTTGGTTTGGGGCTTTTAGTGATCAAAGAGACTTGGAGAGTTCCTAGTGGCCAGACTTGGGCTATCAAGACTTCGGGCATGTTATCCCTCGAGAAGGACATCATGCTTGGTAAATCCCTCGAGAAGGACATCATGCTTGGTAAAATGGAGGGTCAGAGAAAAAGAGGAAGACCTTCAACGAGATGGATTGGCACAGTGGCAGCAGTGATAGGCTTAAGTGTAACAAGGATGGCGCTTTTGATCTGTTGTGCAAGGGGTCACTGTGAGTCGGAGCCCACTTGACGGCACCTAGAAACAATGCAAGAAAAGGCCAGAAGCTTTTGCAAAGGTGTAGAAGCACTTGCATCAAGTCAAAGTCATTGTGATGGATTTGTGTGGCTGGGTGAGCTCAGTTACCAGTAAAGGACACATCTCCAAGTCAGCTGTCGGGAGACTGCCTGTGTGTAATGAAAGGGTCTCGTGGGCCTGGTTTCTTACTTAGCTCGTTTCCAAGGTTCATCCTTGTTGGCACATGACCAGCTCTTCATTCCTTTGATGGTTCAGGAGCAGTCCATTGTACAGATAAATGACATTCTGTGTATTCATTCATCAGCTGATGTGTTCATTCAACACACAGCTAGGTATAAGGCTATAATGCTACGACCTCTTTAAAGTGAACAGCAAAACTCACTTAGAGGACTAAGGGGCATCTGATCGAAGTCATGGTATTTTCCAATCACCTTAGATGTCTGAGAAAGCTGGACATTGCAACAAGGAAGACCAAAGAATCACAGAAATTGAATTACAGTGTTTTGGAAGAACTCTGAATACACAGTGGATTGCTGGAAGAACGAGGCGATCTGTCCTGGAAGAATGTTCCCTGGGCGCCAGTTCCCTGCACCAGCTGAAATCTTGACACCTTTCTTCTTTTGGGCAATAAGCAGTAAAACTTTTACAAAAACCTGAACTCTCTGCATAGAAGACAGATGATCTGCTTTGCAAACCTTAATTCACAAGTCTTTAAAAAATTTTTTTAAAGTTAATTTCTCTTTAGAGCAGCAACAGCAGATTTTAGGCCAAGGTACAGCTTGATTCAACGTGGATTTTAATTTAGAGAGGCATTTTGGTTAAGCTTACGCATTGGACCACAAGGTCGTTTGAATTGTAAGGTCAGCAGTCGCGTCCCAGAAACTCTACACAGGGTCACTATGAGTCGGAACCGACCAGACGACGGCTCATGTAACAAGCCCGTTGGTTTGGGGCTCACCTTCCTGGTTCTTGCACTAGACACAGTGGCGGCAACGAGGAGTTCCAGCGTAGTAATACACAACCAGGAGTGTTTCTTTCTATGTGCTTGGGGTCCCGAGGAGTTGGAACCGCCTCAAGGGTACCACCTCAAGTGGGTGTGCAGTGGTTCTCACTGTAGTTTTGTCACTTCCCTGACGATTAATGATGTTGAGCACTTTTTCATGTGCTTGTCTATTTTTACCTTTTTTGGAGAAATGTTTATTCAGACTCCTGACCATGTTTCCTTTTTTGTTTTTAATTGTACAAGTTCAGATATTTTGGATACTGTTAAGTGCCATGGAGTTCGTTCCACTAACAGTGACCCTACAGGGGGTTTCCAAGGAGTGGCTGGTGGGTTTGAACTGCAAACCTTGTGGTTAGCAGCCCAGTGCTTATCCTACAAAACCACACCACAATGGTCTAGTATACAATGTATGTAAGTATTCTAGATTGTTGTTCATGAATGCCATCGAGTCAGTGCCGACCAAGAGCGATCCTGTACAGGGTGTTCAAGTAGCAGCTGGTAAGTTTGAACCACTAACCTTCTGGTTCAAACCAACTTTGCAGTCTAGCTCATTAACCCACAGTGCCACTAAATATATAAAGGAAAGCCCAAAGGTATTGCTACTAGGGTTCAATGTCCTAATGTGCTGGTTAATTTCCAACATCTGTCTAAGCATGTTTCTGCAATCAGTGGATAGCTGCAGACAAGTTCTCTCAGTAATAGATTCATGTCAGCCTTGTTAAACTACCTTAAATAAAAACTTTGTGCCATGGGAAAAAATGACTGAGGTGAGGGCTAAAATTCCATTTTGAACAACTCAAGTGGCCATTTTCTGAAATCATTGAAAATTTGCAACAAGTTTACAGGCATGCTGCCCCACATACATATATATATACAGTCCTGATACGTACTATAGGATAAGCACTGAGAGGGGAGATGCAAAGGAATGCCCAAACTTGCAGATAGTATCCATTTGACCTAAGCTTCGATAGCTTGATGTTAAGAACTCAACTAGAGGAAGAAAAAGAAATTTGTTAAACAAGTATAAATTGCTACAATTTGATGAACTTGACCAATACTTATGGATGTAGTAGCCAAAAATACAAACTGAGAGGAATGGAATTTTCATATCAAGGATCAAACCTATCCCCTCTGTACATAGGGTTGATAGGGACAGGCAATGTAAGACATTGGGGTGGGGGTGGGGGCGATAAAGGCACGAAGTGACTGGCTTACAAGTTTTCTAGAGGGCGTTTCGTTTCAGTGTGAGGGGGAAGGTAGAATCCCCATTAAAGTTTTCATCTTGTCTAGATGGGTCTGGTGAAAAGAGATGGGGATAGGAGTCTCATGATTCAAAAGTAATTGTTATCATGACTAATTGTGACTGTCACAACTGTAAAGGGCGAAGTTTGTAACAAAAACAGGGAGGCGTTAATCTTTCAGTCCAGTAACAGAGGACACTATGACCATCAGGTGAGAAGAGTATGAGCGGAATGTGAGACCCTCTCCAGAGAAGCAGTGACACCAGAGATACTCCAGGTTCATGGAAAGAGAAAGGCTGTGTGCTGGCAGCCAGGAGGCAGGTTTGCAGAAGGATGTGCCCTTGGGTTGCTTAAATGATTATATATTCCTGAGTGTTTTTTGTGTACACCACCACCACCACCACCACTTCCGCAAAAAGAGGGAATAGAAGCAAATACTGTTGAATGATGATGCATGGGGGAGATTATAATCATTGTAATGAAATACAATACAATGACTGCAAACTGAAGTTCTCTTATGTAAACTATCACTCAATTCACAATAAAAGCTTTAAAAAAAAAAAGCAAGCACTGAAATGTTAATCACCGCCTCACACCCATCAACGGCCCCTCATAAGCTCTACACAGGGTCACTGAGTTGGAAGCAACGTGATGGCACACACTGTATTTTTAATGAAGGCTTACCAATGCCAGGGTTACTTCTAATTCACAGAGCAGAACATGGCCATCAGTCGCTCCAGCTCCAGCTCTGAACCCTTCTCAGGCAGAGCAAGGTGTTGGCCTTACCCTGTTGATAGCTGGGTATCTTTGTGACTGGCCTCCCTTTCAAGAGTGCCCAGTAGAACTGGCGCTTTGAGATCATTTCTGGCCAGATTCTACTACCTGATGTTGGGTCACAGCACTGTGCCCTTCAAATTTTCCTCATCTGTGAAACTCAGCAATGCTTGCCCAGTGTGAACATTATTTTGTAGACCAGACCCCAGGGGCTCTTCTGGAATGGTGCGATGTGGCAGAGTTGTTGGATGGCGGGGGTGGGGACTGTGGGGGGGTACCCGCAGTACAGGCCAGAGCCATCCCCCCCTGTGCAGCCTGTGGGGGGCCGTCCCTGCTCCACGGCTGTCTGCAGTGGTGGCAGGTGCTGCACAACAAGTGTGTACTGGCCTCCTCTCTCTCACACTCACACACACACTCAGGTCTGCTGATTTGGGCATTTATTGCAAATAAAATATGAGGTATGAGAAGCTGACCCAGAACCCATTCCCATCCCTGGCTGGGGATGGGACAATCTTCAGTGACCCTGCCCTAGGCCCCAGGCACTGTGAGCCCCAAACAGCCCTCTGCAGGACAGAGGGGCCCTATGCATGAGGTAGCTGCATCTTGGCACCCCTCCCCATTCAAGCGTAACTCCCCAGGCTTGCCCAGTCTCGGCAGAGACCCCTGCCCAGAGGGAGGAGGGGAGGTAGGCTGGCGCGCAGCCTCTGGGAAAGGCACCTTTCTGCCTGCCCATCCCAGGTGGAGATCAGGAATGGGCAGCCACCAAGGAGACGGGGTGGGCGGGCCAGGCTGGCAGGTGGTCACTGCTGCCCCAAACAGTCCTCTGTCACGCCCTGGGCAGCCAGCTCGGCCAGCACGTTCTGCAGGTAGTTGGGGTCGGGGTAGCCGTGGCCTGTCACATTGCGGTCCATCTCGGTCTTGTGGTGGATCTCGTTCCACACCACGGTGTCGGTCTCGCCAGTGGTGCTGGACGTCCCCACTGTGAAGATAAGTCGCCGCTTCCAGGCTACCTTCAAGAGCTCCAGGACCTGTGAGGAGGGGAGGGAGCAAGGCCAGCTGAACTAGGCTGGTAGCCCTGGGGACAGCGGCAGAGAGGCAGCAGGGTGGGAACAGCCTCCCCTCCTGCTGAAAGTGGTTCGAGCCCCCACTCCCTGCCCATGAGTGCCTGCTGTGCGTCGGCACAGGTGGGGCTGGACCTTCCTCCTCTTCGTGACCACTACAGCCTCTGGGCATGAACACCACATGGGGGTCTCCAGTCTCTAGTTCTAGTCCGACACACTTGAACTGCCTATCTGACATCCCAGGAAGACCTCACACTCCACCTGTTCAAGACACAATGCTGGGTTCCAGCTTCCTCTCCCCCAGGAGCCACGCTTGATTCCTTTGTCTCCTCCTGGATGAGCTTCCTCTCTGTATCCTCAGTGGAACCAAGGCCTCTTAGCCTCTCCTCTCCTCACTGCTCCCTCTGCCTGCACTCAGGACCCCCCACCACAGCAAGCTTCAAGTTTCCAATCTAAAAGCAGAGGTTCCTGTTGCTCCTCCACACCTCAAGTCTTCACATCGAGCTTAGTGTAAAACCCAAACTCCTGGGCACTGGGGGGTTGGCAGCCCTAGCCCCATCTTCAGGCTGTGAGCCTCTGCCTTCCTCTGGCTCTTCACTCAAAGACTCCGCACATCAGCCGCTTTCTCAGCCTACGGTGGCCATGCCCTTCCTTTCCCTGGACTTCTCCGAGCTAGAAATTCCCGTCCAGCCCAAGCCTCTGCTGCCACGCTCTCCTGATTTGCTAAAGGGCCCACAACCCCACCCACAGGTTGTTGGAAGATTCTCTTTCCTCCTCACTCGGCAAGTTCAGGGATCTCTGTTACGGACTGAATTTTGTGTTCCCAAAATGATACATAACATCTTCAACCCCGGTACCTGGGACCCTGCTTGCAAACAAGGTCTTTGAAAATTATATGGGTTAACATGAAGCCATACTAGAGGTGGGAACCAATCCTATTTGAGGGAGTCCTTGTAACGGTGGGCAATGGCCATGGAACCGTGCATCTGTGGCCAGAAAAATCACAGAGCATGAAGACAGAGAAGTCTTCTCAGCTGGAGCAGAGACAGATAGTCCTGTCCCCGCCCAGGGTTTGGACTCTGCAGGTCCAAAGACAATTCACTCTCCCTTGTATCCCCAGCACCTAAAGCCTCAGCAGGATGGCAAGGGCCCCATCCTGCCCACAGGGTTCCTCCTCAAGTTACAGCCCAGAGGAGAGCCAGAGGAACAGCCAGGCCAAGGTCCTTCCCACACCCCAGCCCCAGCCTGCTCTGTTCCCTTCCCAAGTGGTTGGCACAGGGCACCTTCCCAGGGACAGGGGTCTACTCTGGCCCAATAACCAGAAGTCAGCTTCCGCTCGCCATGGGCTGGTGGCAGGGCCTTACCTTGCGGCCCTGGGCATTGTCTGGAAGGTAGCACTGGCGGGGAAACCCTCGGGCAGTGAACGGTTTTCCAGGGTTGGGATGTTCAGGGCCCTGCAGAAGGAGCACAGAGACCAGTCATGGGAGGGACTGGCGAGAGAGCCCAGACCCTGGCTGGCCTTCCTGGCTGGAGTGCATTCTTACACTGAACGGATCCAGAAAACCCCACCTTACATCCCAGTCCCTCAAAGATCCCATGTAAACCTTACCTTCCACCCACAGCCACCTTTCCCGGTGACAATGGAAACCCTTCAGAGGCTGGGATGGAATTTGTCCTAATTCTCTGACTCTCCCAGGGCGCTGGGATCCTGGCCTGGCTGGAGGGTCTTTCTTGGCACCCAGATCCCACCCCTCCCTTCCCTGGTGGGCTGCTCCTGGCTTTCGGCACTGCCTGGGGCTGGAGTACTAGAGATAGCAGCAACAGGCTGCAAAGATGAGGGGCTAGAACAGTGGCTAGAGCATGCTGCCTGCCCTCCGCCACACCAGTGACCCCCCATGTGGGCTTGGACCCTGTCTGGAATGGGCTCAATACCACTGGGATCCTTAAAGAGAAGTGGAGGAAAGGGGGAACACATTTGATGAGACAGAACTGGTAAACTGAAACCCCGCCTGCCACAAACTGGCCCCACTGCTCCAGGCTCTGAGACCAACTGGGCTAGGGGAAGGAGCTCCAAGGGGCCAGGGCTCCCCCATCTATGTCTCCCTGGAGCCCGGTGCTTGGGTTTCTGTCTTGTTCCGACACCCAGGTTCCACCCTACCATTCCTAGTCCGGGTCTGGGTCTGGCTCTTAAAAACAGAGGGCCTGAATCTTTTAAGATGGTGACAGTTTTCATAAGTAAGCAAGAGTTTACCTATGGGAAAAACAAATACCACTCTAATGCTTTCCTAGAAATTACAGTAAGGAAATGATAAACAGGCAAACAGGAACGCAGCAGGGCGCCGTAGACAGCCAAGAATCAACGAATCAACAAGTTGCCGACAGTAGGGAAAGATCGGGTCTCCCATCTTTTCCTGCCTCTTCCCCAGCCACATGGGCCACTGGCTGCTGTAAACTGGGGTAGTAGCCGCAGAAAAATTTTCCTTCCCTAGTCATTATCGCCCCTTCCTGTACAGACATGAGACCCAAGCTTCTGCCATAAAACCAACTCCGCGTCCCTGGAGTTCCAGCCAGAGTACTCCAGCAGCACCTCCACCTGCCACTGCTGGTCGCAAGGCTACTACAGAGGGTCATAGAAGGCCTGAGCAACAGTCATCACCCTTCCTGCCTCCCAGTGTGCCTCCAGCTCAGGCCTCCAAAACTAACAGGATAGAGCTGGCGGGGAGTTAGCTCTGGTCTGTCTGCTCCCCCTTCCTGTAGTGCTGAGACCTGCAGAGGCAGCTGTGGGCTAAGAAGCAGGAATCTTGAGCAGTGACTACACCCATAGGCAACATTCTACAGGGTGGGCTCTGGTAGCAACAAGGCAGATGTCCCTGGTGATTCGTTCAAAGTGTGTTCAAGAATTTCAATAATTATTTTAAGAATAGTCAAAGATACAACATTTGAAATTAAACATTTTTTGAAATGTAAAATACATAATTATAATGCTCATATTCCCTGTCTTGCAATTTTAAAGTCTGAGCTAAAACATGAGTTTTCATAGGTAAGCAAGAGTTTACCTATGGGAAAAAGCTAGAGTTCTCCTACAGAAGAACAAACAGAAGTGTGACCACCATCTATAGTGCCACTGAATCAGACAACGCCAATTCAACTATTTCCTTTTTTTTTTTTTGGAGAGAAGTATATCTTTTATGCCCAAAGTACAGAATGCAGACTAGTCATTTTCATTATAGCAATGAAGAACATTTGCCTTACACTTTGGAACAAGCACAAGAGTGCTTACTGATACTAACCACAGTAAAGAAATCCTCTCAAGAAAGAACCCAACTATGACTCACAAGTTGTCCAGCCATCACTGTATCTTAGTTTAGTGGCCTGAGTATTTAGAAAGTACAATCTTGAACTAAAATAAACCTATGGCTGCCAATAATACCAAGAAACAGCTATAGGGACTCTAAATGAACAATGATTAGAACAAAAACTCATCTCGTTTCAGTAAAGAAAGTTTCTTTCCTCCCATTCTAAGAAAGGGGTGGGGGATAGTGGTGGACACCAAAGTTTGGCAACAACTATGCTTCTGGGGCTGTGGACTAAAGTGTCAGACTGCAAAGTTGTTTGATCTGTAAGATCAGTGGTTCAAGCTCACCAGCTGCTCCTTGGAAACCTTACACAGAGTTACTACAGGTCAGAATCGACTCAACGACACTTAACAACAACAACAAATGTTTCTAGCAGATGAAAACTCTTCGGTCAGTTTTTCTTATTGTGGGGGCTTGCATGTTTCTGTGATGCTGAATGCTATGCCACCAGTATTTTAAATACCAGCAGGGTCACCCATGTCGGACAGGTTTCAGTGGGCTTCCAGACCAAGTCAGACTAGGAAGTAGAAGAGGCAGGCTAGTTCTGACTAACCACTGAAAAGCTTATGAACAGTAATGAAACTGTCAGACACAGGGCTGAAAGGCCCCTCAGGTTGGAAGGCACTCAAAATATGACTGGGGAAGAGCTGCCTCCTCAAAATCGAGTTGACCATAATGACGTGAATGGAGCAAAGTTGTCAAGACCTTCGTTTGGTGATGGGGCACAATGCAAAATGAGAAGTAACAAACGCAAATATCCATTCATAATCAACGTGGCATGTATAGAGGAAAATTGGATGTTGCCAAAAGTGAAATGGACGGGGCTGATGAAAGGAGATGAGGATAAGACTCTTGTACAATAATGAATAATTACTATCAGGACTGACTATGAGGGTTGGAAATGTATAGTAGATTTTTGTAGCAAAAGGAGGGGAATGATTGACTTTGCAGTCTAGAAGTGGAGGTCCCTGGGACCATCAAGGGAGAAGAGCGGAGAGCAGGACCCTACCCAGAGAAACAGTGATGCCAGAGATGGAGGCAGAGACAATGACGTGGAGAGATGGAGCGGTTGGGGACTTAAGACCCAGAGAGGGAGAGGAGCTGTATGACCAGGGTGGGGTTGGGGTGCAGGCTTGCAGGGTATACCCTTTGGATGGTTGATGATGTATGGAGAGGACTGTAACCATGGCAGTGAAACGATATACGATAGGATGAATGTAAAGCTAATGTTCTCCCATGTAAACTATCACGTAATTCACAATAAAACATTTTAAAAAGTGAAATGGAACCCATAAAGATCGATACCCTAGGCGTCAGCAAGAAGAGCTAGACTGGCTTTTTTGGTTTGGAGGTTCAAGGCCATGGCCGCATAGGGCGTTCCAGCTAATGGACCTACTAACATGTCCAGCATTTCTGTTCTACCACCTACTTCTTGTGTTCCACCTGGAGTCTTAAAAACTTGTAAGTGACCACAGGAGAATCTGGTCAAAGGGAGCAAATGGAGAACAGAATTTCAAATTCTCATGGACTCTAGACTTCTAGAGCCATCGAGAATGGATGAACTACTGCTCTGAGATCATCTTTAAACCTTAAACCAAAAATATCAACTGACATCTTAAAACCAAGCAATACTTCATTTAGCTTGACTAGTTAAAAAAGATGTGCGTTGAGCATTACATTCTTTTTATAATGATCATTCTGTGATGAAATCGACAACTAGAAAGATTAGATAGGAGTCTTAGGGGCTATGAGTTTATGCTTATGAGAGAGTAAGAATCAGAAAAGGAGGGTGAGGATGTTTAAGAATGTAATCGATGTCACTATATTGTACACGCAAAAACTGTTGAATTAGCTAGAGTATGTTTCATTGTGTACATTCTCAGCAATAAAATAAGTAAAACTTAGAGAGTCTTGGTATGGTGCCAAGATGGCAAGGTAGACGGTTCTAACTCAGCAGCCGCTCCGCAGAAACCCTATGCAGGGTCCTTATGAGTCGGAACGGACTCAACTACACTTAACAGCAATAAAAGGAAACAACATAAAACATGGGTCCTGCCAGTCCTCACTGTAACACACCCGCGCTCCATGCTATGCCAGTTGGGAGGGTATCTTAATGCCCATTGTGCCTACAGCCTCCCCAGTTATCTGGCCACTCAGCACAGCGCTCTTCCAGCGTATCGGCTTGGTCTTCTGCCTAATACAAGTCCAGCTAAGATGGCTCCTCTATCAGAAGGCTCTCCCTGTCTTGCGAATACGCTGGTGCCATTTATTTCCATTTCCACAGCCCTATGATCCTGCCCCATCCCAGTACTATCACCTCCTGGTCCTGCCGGATCCAGGCCTGAAAGGGGACTGAGAGCTGGAGCTGGGGCGTGAGGGTGTGGGAATAGGGTGCCTCTCACCTGGATGCCGTGAGGAATGTTGTAAACTATGAGTATCGTCCCGCAGTCTTCGTGCCCGGGGAGACACACCTGGAACCTGAACACCTCCATCTGCCCCCGGGGCTGAGTCCCCGTTTTCTCTCCGTAGATGGTTTTGCAGGAAGGACACTGCAAGCTCCCATCCTGAAAGGAGGAGGGCAGCAACAGGCTGAGCACACTGAAGGCTCGGCCTCAATGGGACGGATGGGCCATGGCCCTACAGGCCTGTCCAGGCAGTCCTCCCCTCCCTCACCAAAAGACCCTATTTCATAGCTTCTTTGTAAACATGGATTTTGCACCAAAACCTTGCTCTGCAGTTTTCAGTAAAGGGGTGAGGTCTCAGGTAGGAAACTCCCTCGCCCCTTACACACGGTCTAAGGAGTTTAAAACCAATCAGAGAACCTGTGATGGATCTCAATGCAATGCCTGGCTGCTGCAAGACAAGAACTCTACAGAGGGGCCACGCCTGGCCAGGCATGCTGTCCCCCCAACCACTGTCCACTGCAGCCACGTTACTAAAGGGAGTAGCCAAGTGCCAGCAGCCGAGGGCTCGGATGTGAAACAGCATGGACTCAAGTCCCTCATCCTGGACTGGGGACCCAGGCATGTTCCCCTTTTTACAGCCTGTTTCCTCCTCAGCCCAGTGCCTACTTCTGATGGAAGAGGGAGGCTGGTGTCAGACCAGGTCTCAGAAGCACCTGCTGCAGGTCATCCACGGATGGCAGAGGCCACCCAGGTAGTCTGAGGCCCAGAATCTAGAAGGTTAGGGTCACCAGCCCAGTTGGTCCCCCTTCCTGACGACTGGGCCAGCAGGCTTCCATCTCAGTACTATGCCCATGACTGTCTTTGCCTTCTTGTGGCTGATCCCCCGCCCCCACAGGGCCAGGTCCCCCCGCCCATCGGCACCTTGTTGCCATTGCAGTACATGGCCAGCAGGCAGAGCAGATGGAAGGCATGGCCACACTTGGTGAGGCGGCCCACAGCCACAGGTCCCACGGTCTTGCTGTCAATCACATCGCTGTACCCGGACACCAGTGACAACTTCTCCATGCAGATGATGCAGTCCTAAGGGGAGACCGACACAGGCACGCTCGCCGACAGCCTGCCACCTGCTTCAATGCCGGGTCACAGGGCAAGTCAGCTCAAGAACAGGTGTGCGGGGGGCTGGCAGCACAGAGAGCGGCCAGCATCTGTGCAAAACAGACAAACGACACAGCCCAGTGGCTGGCGCACTACAGGACCTGGGCCAAGACAGCAGTGGACGCAGGGAGAGCGGGCTCCGCCAGGAAGGGGCCAAGCAGAGGGAGAGGTGGTCTGCAAGCGGCGGTGTGGGGTGGGCTAACAGGAAGCAGGAAAGCAGATCTTGGCAGGTTCTAGTTGCCATGCTTAGGAGCTGGGCCCTGCTGAGGGTCAGATGTAGGAAGACGCATCACGATTCCATTTGTCTATTGGCTGTGCGGGTAGGACTGGAGGCCAAGCAGCCCACTATGACCAGTGAGCACAGGGACCAAGGCAGGCGAAAAAGGGAGACGCCATGGTCTCCATCCAACCTCTCCTAACCCGACGCTGTCTCTCCTGTCCTTGACTTGCAGGAGGAAGGCCAGCAGAGAGGCTGAGGTGCTGGGTTGACCTGAGTGACCTTTAACTCACCACCCCCTACCAGCTCTCTAGGACTCTCCATCCCAAATGGAGCTACGGGTGCTGGGGTCCACAACAGGGCTCAGGAGAGAGGGGCTTCTGGACACGCCTACCATCCTGTGTCCAGGCCCTCAGTCTGAGGCTGGCATAGGGAAGGTGCTGCACAGAGGAGTGCCCGCTCAGGACCACAGCTCTCTCCACATGCATGGCTACCTCCGGGGTCCTGGGAAGTGCCCTCAGTTGGAGAGCAGGCCAGGTGTCCTCTTAGCTGTAGGAACAGCTCATTCCTGTCCCCGACACGCACCTCATCTGGTGGTGACTTCAGCTCTTCGGTGAAGTGTTTTAGCACCTGCTCTGGCTCTGGCTTTGGAGTCCCTCCTAGGAGAGAAAAAGGTAAAATGGTGTCCCCCGGCAGACAGACTGGATGTGGTGGTACCAGAGAGGCACGAGAGAGAGAGAGAGAAAGCGGTCCAAGCTGCCAGGAGAAAACATCAGAGGGTTAGAGATGGGAACCAGCGTGCCATAGGGAGAGGCCCTGCATCGGTACAAACACTTCAGAACTCTGCTCAGCCAGCCCATCGCCCAAGCCTGCCTGTGAAGTCCAGGAGCCCCTGCCCACCCGTCACAGCTCTTCCGAACCACAACTGCTCCCAGTCACACACCACCGACCTGGGCTTGCCCGAGGGCGAACGGAGGAACGGGATACAACAACCCAAACCAACAACACAGGGGCAGGTTGTGGCTGCATCTTTCTTGTGTGAACATCCCAGCCAGAGCCGTCAGTCTGAGGAGTCAGGTATGGGCCAAGTACCCAGCAACTGCCCCACAGCCCCCAACACAGGGCTCAGTCAGGGTGGTTAACTAGAGGATGCTGGGAGTGCGAGGCGAGCAGGCCAGTGGGGGCAGCTCTGAGTGGTTTTGGCTCCCATGCAAAAAAGGCTAAACTCAGTCTGAAGGCCAAGGCCCCTGCCCCTCAGAGCTCGAGCCTGTCTTCCCTTTTTGTTTAATGCGGGCAAAGTCAGTGCTGCTGGTCTGAGATATATCTGAACTCCTCCTGGACTGGACTATGGAGTCTCAGTCTCACATCACTAACCAAGATCAGGGATTCTGGGAAGTGGCCAAGACGCAGCTGAAGAGTGTCCAACTGCCCCACAGGGTCAGGGGCTCCTCTGGCCTGCCTCAACTCCTCTTGGCGCATCCCACCTTCCTCTGCACACTGTGTGAAGATGGGAGGGTGACAGTCCTACGCCAGGTGGGGTTCCACCTCCTTCTCCCTTGTTAGTGAGACAGAAAATCAGCACAGCTGGGGCGTGGAGGGGGTGGGAAAGAGGCAGCGGCAGTGGTGCAACAGGGGGAATTGCAGTGAAGCTCATGCAGGAGGGGCCCAGGGCCCAGGACCCAGTGCAGCCCCAGGAGGGTGACTGTAACAAAAGTGCCTCCCCTGCCCCCCAGGGACACCCTGAAGCTGCTCAGCCTGCCATCAAACCCAGAGGGCTCAGGCTGACCACAGGTCAGTGGCCATCAGCCTGGGGCAGCAGAGCATAGAAACCAGAGGGAACAACAGCTGCACCCCTAGGTGCATCACGAGGGGAGGCAGATTGGTGCTGGAACCAGGAAGTCTGGGGAGTCATCCTGTCTCTCTCCAGGATGACCAAATCCTGTCACATCAGATTCCCCTGGTCTGAAAAGTGGAAACATGGTTCCTATACCAAAGGCTACAGCTGTAAAGGCGCGCACGCACACACGCACGTACACGCACGCACACACACACATGCGCGCGCAGTGGAAACATGGTTCCTATACCTATATACAAAGGCTACAGCTGTAAAGGCACGCAAGCGCACACACACACACATACACGCAGTGGAAACATGGTTCCTATACCAAAGGCTATAGCTGTAAAGGCGCGCGCGTATGCGCGCACACACACACACACACACACACACACACACACATGCTTCTAGGACCCCGACTCAGGTCACTAAGCTGAGAAAGCCAGATCAAAACCCCATAACCACTAGAACAAGAAGCCACCTTGAGATCTCGGATATTCTCCTCAGACAGACAGAAGTCTTGAGGACTACAGGCCAGTGTCCACATGAACCCCAGAACCCCATCTGCCCACCCTAGCTCCTGGCCCCCTCTGGTCGCATTAGCAGCCCACCGCGTAGCCCTTACTCTTACTCTGGCAGACTTCCAGTACCGAAGGTACCTTTCCACTCGCCCAATTCTCAAAGGTGACCACAACTAGATGACCACCAGTTAGCTGGCCTGTGTTCTTCCTGGGCAAATCCACGGGTCCCCTCTCCACCTCCTGGGTAGAGTAAGAAGGGTGCGCATGGAGCCCATCCCGACTGCTGGATACGTGAAACCCTGCCTTTCCCTGGGCCCCTCCTCCACCCTGGGGTGGGCGTCCAAGCAGCTGATGCACACAATGGCAGGAGTCATCAATCTGCCAGGTTGGGGCACCCAGCTCATGAGCGAACTATCTGAACAAGAGCACAGAGCACGTGATAAGCCAAGCCTGAGCCCAGGGAAAGCAGTCCTGAAGTCCTGCCCCTCTCACAATGTGGCACACCCATGAAGGCCAACTGGCTTTGAGGTCTGAGAGGCAGCTTCAGAGTCTAGCGTATGACCAACAAGAGGGTTAGCGCTCAGCTGCACCTCCCGAGGTCCTGAGCTCTCTCTTAGAGCAGGGCTGAGGTCATCAGGGAGCCCCTGGGGAGTAGGAGCCCAGACAAGGCTGGGGTCTTTCCTGAGATGTACACTAACCCTAGTGGATGGGGACAGAGTTGTCCCCCCTCTCCTGAGCCAGTGGCCGGCATAAGGCCTCGTCCTGCACTTTTGTGACTACAAAGTCACTGGGTCCTCGAGAGCAAGCCCCATGTTCAGATTATGCCAAGAAAACCTGAACTCTGGGTCGGATGTGGGAATGATCCCCCGGGGACCACCCCTGCAGAAGGCAGGAACAAGGGGCCAGAAGCCCATCACCCCAGGAGACCAAGGACAGAGAAAAGAGCCAGGAAGCTAAAGGAGGAGCCACCAAGGCAGGTGAGTCCGAGACAGCAAGACTGGAAGGAGGCTGAGCGAAGGTCAGAGTGCAGCGGTGAATGGGAACTACCTTTCATGGACATTTTCCTCAATCTCTTAACTGAGCTGTGGCTTTTAGAGGCCAGACAGGAGGCGGGAGGGCTGGCGGGCTGAGGCGCGCGGCTAAGACACACAGGGAATCCAATGGCTGACATCAGAACACTCGTCATGCCTACACGGGGTGCAAGATCAGACATGCAGAGAGGGGGAGAGATATTAAAAGGGGTCATTCAGCACGTATCACCAACAAGCCCAGCCGAGTCTGGGGAGGCAGTACGACTAGAGTCATCAGGACCCACTAACCTCCCTCCCCAGGGAAGCCAGTCACTCAAGGCGGCCAGGACTGGAGGTTCCCAGGTGTCAGCAGAAGCAACTCCCACAGCGCCAGGAGAAGCCAGTGGGCGCAATGCGTGGTGTCTTCCAGTGCCAGGGGCAGGGAGGGAGAGCAGAACGGACGGCGTGGAGGGGACAGCCAAGCTACAGAACTACGACGGGGCCATGGCAGGGTCTCCTGGGGCCCGTGCTGGTCACTCCATCTTGGCCATGGGAAGCTCATGGTATCCCAAGAGTCCCTCGGGAATGTCCCCACACTACATGTCCCTACAGTCCCCTAAACCTCTTCTTTGTTTCAGCAAAGGTCAGAGGCTGTGACTTTCTTCTTGGATCACATCAGCCCCCCAGCCCTGCCCAGTGATGGCCAGGCAAACCCCACAAGCCATTCTGGTGGGCCGGGGCGCTCAGTGTTTCCCGATACTCAGCCCTCCCAGGTCTTCACTGCCCCACGCTGAGCCTCACTCGGGAGTGCAATGCTCCTGTGAATATTTACAGCAACAGAAAGTCTGAGCTTTCTCCTACAGAGCAGCTGATGGGTTTAAACTGCCAATCTGTGGCAAGCAGGTCAGTGCTTATCCTACAGTGCCGCCAGGGCTCCATCCCTCAGTCACGTGGATGTCAAGATAGCAGACCACTCCTCTGGGTTCCTTCAAGAGCCAAGGGACACAAGACGAGCTGAGGACCCAACCTGCAGAAGGCCCTCAACCTCTAAAGCAGAGTCACTGCAAAGACAGATGGTGTCACTACAAAGTACACAAGAAAGAAGGACCTGCTGGTAACTGCTACGACATATGAAACAGCAAAAAAACGTATGTGCAGGTACATGTGTATGTATGCATATAAGGATGTGTATATATAGTTACATATATAAGGGAGTTATATATACACACACAAGGGAGCTTCAACAAGTGTCTGGAAAAACTCCACTGGCTTTCATTCCATTTGTACACGAGCTTTCTGAAGTCCTCTTGCATGTGTGCTTACCCACAGATGTATGTGCATATATGGATGTGACTGCAGACACTTACATCTGTACATAAAATAACACGCACCAAAACACCTCCCGGGATTGGCTTTCTGTGGACGTCTGGCTCCACCAGCATCATATAGTTCATAAAGTTACACCTACATCCTAGTTTGGGGAGTCTTAAGAAGAAGGAGTGACGAACTACTTCTGAATATTTAGTCACTGAAAACCTTATGAATAGCAGAGAAACACTGTCAGATTTAGTGCCGGAAAATGAGCCCCTCAGGTTGGAAGGCACTCAAAATGAGACTGGGGAAGAGCTGCCTCCTCAGAGTGGAGTTGACTGTGATGACGCAAATGGAGTAAAGCTCACAGGAGAAAAGCCCATGGGACCTTCATTTGCTGATGGGGCACAACTCAAAATAAAGAGAAACAGCTGTAAACATCCATTAATAATCAGAACATGGAATGTACAAAGTATGAATCTAGGAAAATTAGAAATTGTCAAAACTGAAATGGAATGCATAAACATCGTTATCTTAGGCATTAGTGAGCTGAAATGGACTGGTACTGGCCGTTCTGAATCTGATAACCACATGGTTCCTCTTACTTCAGACATATTGTCAGGAGGGACCAGTCGTTGGACAAGGATATCATGTTTGGTAACGTGGAGGGTCAGAGAAAAAGAGGAAGACCCCCAGCGAGATGGATTTGCAAAGTGGCAGCATCAATGGACTCAAGCGTAGCCACAACTGTGAGGTTGGCCCAGGATTGGGCAGTGTTTCGTTCTGTTGTGCATAAGGCAGCTATGAGTTGGTACCGATTTGATGCCACCCAACAACAACAACAGTGGTAATCTACGACACAACTATTGCTTTCCACTCACCGTGTGCAAAGAAGAAAGAAAGCAAAGACTAAAAAGATGCGTGTCTACAGGACAAACAGTCAACACAGATACGGCCACTGGCCCTGGGACAGAAGACCTAGACGGTGCCCAGCTGCCACTACCAGCTGGTCTCTTCAGGGCCACAACAGATGGATCCTGACACAGAAGTGTGCAATTCCTAACAAACGTCCTAAGACCCAGGCCTACTGCACTGGCTGAGGTAACTCCTCAAACCTCGAACCAAAATGCACTCTGAGGTTACCCTGTAGCTAAGTGACAAACTGACTTGAAAAACAGTACCACCCCGTTAAGTTCAGAGTCCCTTGAAAAATTCACCTACATGAAACTAAACAGTCAATGGTAACTTTAAAACAAAGATGAGATACAAGCAGGCAGGGAAGCTAGAAGAACGGCAACAGGACAAGCAGAGTGGGAATGAGGAGAATGCTCACATATTGTGAAGAACACAACCAGTGTCACTGAACAACTTGTCTAGAAATTGATGAACGGGGACCTAAACTGCAAACCATCACTGAAAACAATAAAATTTCATTTTTTAAAAAACAACAGGCCGAGAACAAGTGCTACTAGATATCCTTAGGTGGTAAGGTGGGGTGGGGCGGGGCTTACCCAGATCACTTTTAAGATCCACTTTGTTGTTGTTGTCTAGGGCTGGTGAGTCTGTTCTGACTCATAGGGACCCTAAATAGGGTTTCCGAGGAGCAGCTGGTGGGTCTGAACTGCTGACCTTGCAGTTAGCAGTCCAGTGCTTGTCCTACAGTGCCACAATAGGGCTCCAAAGATCCATTTAGAAAGGTGTGTATGAAAGCTTTATATTGTACACGAGGCCTGGCCAGGCAGATGTCCCAAGAGATGGGGTGTTTCTCCAGCTCGCTCAGAGGGCAGACAAGAGGGGGGCCAGGCCTGTTACAACCTTGGCTCCAAGTCCTCCACCACCAACCACCACACCCACCCACACACTCAGTACTGTGAGCACAGCACATGACCACACCAAAGGATGACCCACATGGGGCAGCAACTTTCTAGTTGCATCTTAGCTCACGTGCCTTTCTCTGCCCTGACAGAGGTTAATGGGTCTCCCTGTGGCCTGTGCAGTCCCCGTCTCCCCGTCTCGCCCTCTCTGTGGCTCTCTGTTCCCTTAGTTATGCTGTTGGCCAGTGCCCTGACCGTGGTCCATCCAGTGCAGAACTCCCACACTCCCATGGCACGCATCACCCTCCATCAGCAAAGGCCCACCACTCTTTTGAGTGCCCCCTACACAGCAACCTGCAGCTCCACCGTCTCCACCCAGGAACCCCCATCCCAGAGCTGCCACCTCAGCACTCGCGGAGTAGCAGAGGGGACTGCGAACAACCCAGACTGGTCACAAGACCGAGGTCAGGAGGCCGGCAGTGGAATCTGAGTTATCTGGCCTCAAGGAGGTCACTGAAACTCACTGAGCCGTACAGCCAGCATGCCCCATAGAGGGAAGATGGAGAGACTGGGACATGCTCTTGGGGGGGACCAGTTCCTGGAGGACATCGTACTTGAACAGTGGAAGGTCAACAAAAAAGAGGAAACCCCTCATCAAGATGGACTGACACCATGGCTGCTATAATGGGCCCTCCCCGCCTCACACACCAAGGATGACACAGGGCTGCTGTAAGACTCCACGGCACCAAAGAGATTCCGCAAATGTAAATGGGGTAACAGTATGTACCTCAGAGCTGTTGTTGGGCTGGAGGAAATGCAGGTACATAGAGAGCCCCCGAGTTCTTTCTCACTGGCGTCTTCACTACAGCACTGCCATCCCAGCTGTACCCAGCAGTCCCCTCTCTTCCTCCCATTTTACAACCAACCCAAGTCAGAAGGGTCTTCAGTCTGCAATGGTTCTGTAACCTACCCACCTCAGCCTACTGTCCTAGTTCAGGCCCTCACTGGCTCTAGTCCTGCCCCCCGCCAACCACCATGCCACTACAGTGACACCCCCAAACACAAACTCTGAGCTTCTTACTTCCTTTACAGTTTTTCAATGATGGGGGCTTACTCACTAGTCCATCTTCCTTTACACATACTCTCCACTGCCCATGAATTTAAAAAAAACCAAGCCTGACGAGGGGCCACGGAGGGGATCCCGTCCCGCTCCTGGGGCTCCACCGTCACCACAGGCTCTGCTTCCTAGGGAGTCCGCATGTTTCTGTGAGAACTCAGAGTAACCTGTTCCCCACTCCATACACAATTTCCTCCACTGGCCCCCAATCCACATGTACTCTCCCCTCCCGAAACCAAGTCCTGCCGGACAGTCTGCTCTTGAGCTGGAGAGCAGGTAACCTACCTGCAAGGGCCTGCTGGACCCTGCTGGGCTTTGGCATCTGCATGGGCACACTGGCAGGCATGCTGGCGGGCACACTCCCAGGGGTGATGACAGGACCGCCGGGGAGGGAGGCACTGGGGGAGAAGAAAAGAGAGCTTAATGTGGGGGGCCAGCTTAGTGGAGAGAAGAGCTAGAGGAATGCAGAACCCCGAGTCCTGGTGTGGTGCTCTTGGATAAGCAACGAACTGTTAACTGCAAGAAAGGCAGCTCAAACCCACCAGCCAGTTTCTTGGAAACTCTATATGAGGTAGTTACGAGTCAGGATTGACTCAGTGGCACTGAACAATAGGTTTCTTTGAGGTTTTACTTCCCATGGCTACAGCTCTGTGCACGAGGAAGGAATGAGTATCTGGAATAAGGAGCAAAAAAATCTAAATTTTACCACTTTCAAGCCAGAGAATCTGAGCAGTTACAAAGCTAGGCCCACAGCTGGGATAATTTACTAGGAAGACACTTCTGTGAAGTTCTACCCATCATGTCCTGAGTGAAGGTCAAGTTTGAGGGTTCTTGAGTAGGTGGCTAAGTAAAGTTGGAAGCCAGGCTCCAGGGAGGAAGAAAGGTGGAGGCAGCCAAGGAGCCACGCAGTCCTACTAGCTTCACCACGGTGGTAGAAGACCACTGCTGTGTGTGAGAATCCCCTCTCTTCACAACCTATCAAGAACAAAACTTTGGACTTCTAGCAAGATGGCAGACTAGGCAGACGCACTACACAGACCCTCTAAAACAAAGAAACCAGAGACCATATGAAACAGACACGGATGAAAATCCTGGAACGCTGAACTTCAGAAGGAAGATTAGAAAAGTGTATTGAGTGCTTGGTGGGAGGAGAAGCTAAGCAGGGACTGCCAGATGCAGCACCAACAATTTGTGAGTAGCTTGGGCCACAGAAGGCCTGGCGGAGCAGATCCACACAGGTGACAGGAGAGGTGTGATTCCTTCTTTAGTGACCAGAGGTGTGGCCAGTTCCCACTCTCACCCACTCCCAGCACACCCCTTACTCTGCAGCAGTTGTGAGGTGGTGCCTGGGTTCGCTGGGATTAGCTCTAGACCTACAGAGCACCTGCAGACCAGCATTTAACCAGTCACCTTACCCCTAGCTGCCCTGTGGTCCTAACAGACACTGAAACCAGCTCTATCAGGGGCCTCTACAAACTTTTGGATCGAGGGCCTTGAATACAGATTAACACCTAGGTCTATAGGAACTCTACCTCAGGCCAGGAACTCTGCTGCCACATCCCGCCCACACCCACCTCCTGAGCTCCTTGGTTTGCAGAAGCCGCCCCCACCCCCACCCCCACCAAGTTTTCTCAAGGTCCAAGAGCTGCACTGTTAGCTTGTTTGCGGGCTTGGTGTCTTCCTTTTGTTTTGTTTTGTCTATCTTTCCATTAACTTGAATTTTACCTTTTATATCTCTGCTTTAGTTCTCTTCTTCTATTTCTCATCCTCCCTCTCCCCACCACACACTCTCAACTCTCTTTTCATCTTCCCTCTCCCTGCCTTTTTCCAAATATTTTTTTTTTACTTTCTTCCTTTTATTTCCTCTTTGTTTTTCTATCAGCTCCATTTCCCTGTCCTTCTTTTCTTTTTATTTATTAAGTGGTTTTAAAATTTTCTTCCCTTTATTTTCTCTCTCTTTTTTTTTTTCTATAGCTCCATTCCCATGGTCCCTCTTTTGTGTAGATTATATTGATTTTCTGGTTGATGCCTGTTTTTATTTCTTTCCGTTTGTTGTTTTCTCTTTTCATGGTGAGTTCCACTTGTTTATTCTGTTTTGTTATTGTGTGTGTGTGTGTGTGTGTGTGTGGTGTCTCTTTCCTAACTGAAGGCGACAGCAATCCTGTCTGGAAAGTGCAGCCGGAACTACCTGGCAAGAGGCAATAGCAGCTCCACAACAGACAGCAGCCATCACGAGCCAAACCCACCCACTGCCCTTCTCTAACTACAATCCCAGGAGACCGTGGTGAGAACGTGAACCACCATCATTAAATACATGCACAACAGCCCCACAATGTTCCGACACAGACAATTTTAGCTAACAAACAAGAGAATGGCTCAAACAGATGACCAAGATGCAGAGCTAAAAAATGATTCTGAGGAAGAAAAGGTAATGGAATTAATTGAGAAAGAATTCAAAAGAATGATAATTAGGTACTTACAAAGCAAGCAAGAACAAACTTTACAAGAATTCAGGAAAACGCTACAAGGACAGACAAAATAAATGCAAATTTTGAAACAATTCAAAACCTGTCATTAGAAATCCAGAAGATTAATACTAAGAAATGGACAATACATTGAAAGGGCAAAGGAGCAGATTTGAAGCAATAGAAGCCCAAATTAGCAAGCTTGAAGATTTCTCAGTACTAGTATGCCAGAAGAATTTTTAAAAGAATGAAACAAATCCGAAGAAAGCCTAAGAGTTACATGAGACACCATGAAGAGGAACAACTCACTGGTGACCAGAATTTCCCAACAGGAAGAGATAATAAAAAGCACAGAGAAGACCGTCCCCGAGCTGCTGGAAGAAAACTTCCTAACATCATGAAAGACAAGAAGATAAACATAAGTAGCTGAACAAACCCCCCAAACAGAATAGACCCCAAAAGGAAATCACCAAGACATATCATAATCAAACCTTCCAAAAGCCAAAGATAAGGAAAAAAATCCCAAGAATAGCTTGGGAAGAACAAGAGGTTACCTGAAAGGAAAATCAAGACTACGCTCTGATTTCTCAGTAGAAATCATGCAGGCAAGAAGGCAATGGGAGGACATATACAAACCTCTGATAGAAATAGCTTGCCAAGAATCATGTACCCCGCAAAGCAGTCCCTCCAATGCAGCAGTAGAATGAAGACATTTGCTGACAGATGAACTGAAAGGAATTTGTGATTGTTGCAATAAAAGCAGCAGTGCGTGCACTCAGTGTAATAAGAGGCGTCGGGGTGTAGTAGAAGGAGCATGGAGTCAGAAGAACCAGGTCCTGGATCGTCATTGATTTGTTATGTGACCTTAAGCAAATCATCTGACAGGACAGAATGGCCTGTCTGTAAAACTGGACAGGTATCGTACCCAGAAGATTCCTTATAAATCAATCTTGGAGGGACCAGCCTTTGGTCCCAAGCTCAGCACCTGTTTGTCATCCTCATGGGGTTCATGAAGAAGGCGGCATTGGTACCAAAGATCAGAAGAGTTGTGGGGTGGCATCAAGAACATCAAACCATAAGAAAGCAAAAGGTCATTAAAAAGACAGGAAAGAAATAAAAGACCAAAATGGATGTCAGAAGAGACTGAAACTTGCTATGCAGTGTAGAGAAGCTAAGGCAAATGGAAGAAATGAAGAAGTAAACGAGCTGAAGAGAAAATGTCAAAGGGCAGCCTGAGAAGACAGAGTCAAGTATTATAATGTGCAAAGACCTAGAGTTAGAAAACCAAAAGTGAAGAATACACTCAGCATTTATCAAGGTGAGAAAAAAAAGAAAAAATTCAAGCCTTAACTTGCACTATTGGAAGATTCTAACGGCAAAATACTGAATGATGCAGACAGCACCAAATGATGAAATGCATGCAGAGAAATGGTCAATGTTCTACCACCATTTCAAGAGGTACCATATGATGATCAAGAACCGATGGTCCTGAAGGATGACGTCCACGCTGCACTGAAGGCACTGGAGATAAACAAAGCTCCAGGAAATGATGATATAAACGGAATTCTGTCAAAAAACTGATGCAGCACTGGATACACTTACTTGTCTATGCCAAGAAATTTGGAAGACAACTACCTGGCCAACTGATTAGAAAAGATCCTTATCTGTGCCCATTCCTAACAGAAATGTTTCAACAGAATGAGGAAATCACTGAACAATATCACTGATATCCCATGCAAGTAAACTTTTGCTGAATATAATTCAAAACTGGTTGCAACAGTACATCAACAGGGAACTTCCAGAAATTCAAGCTGGATTTAGAAGACAAAGACATGGAATCAGAGATACCATTGCTGATTGTCAGATGGATTTTGGCTGAAAGCAGAGAATACCAGAAAGATGTTTAACTCTACTTTATTAACTATGCAATGACCTTCAGCTGTGAATCATACCAAACTATGTATAACATTACAAATAATGAGTATTCTGGAGCACTTAATAGTGCTCATGAGGAACCTATACAAAGTCCCAGAGAAAGTCATTCTAACAGAATAAAGGGACACTGAATGGTTTAAAATCAGGAAAGGTGTTGTATCTTTTCACCATACTTATCCAGTCCGTATGCTAAACAAATAATCCAAGAAGCTAGATTATATGAAGAAAAACATGGCATCAGAACTGGAGGAAGGCTCATTTACCAACCGGCGATATGCAAATGATACCACTTTGTTTGCTGGAAGCTAGCTGCAAGCCAAGTGGACTTGAAATGCTTATTGATACAAATCAAAGACTATACCCTCAGTATAGGAAAGTATGAACTGCACCTCAATGTAAAGAAAACCAAAAAAACCTCACAACTGGACCAATAAATAACATCTTGATAAAAGAAGAAAAAATTGAAATTGTCGAAGACTTCATTTTGCTTGGATCCACAATCAGCACTCATGGGAACAGCACGGAATCAAAGGTTGTATTGCATTAGGCAAATCTGCCACAAAGATACAGTTTGAGGGCTAAGGTGCGCCTGACCCAAGCCACGATACTTTCAAATGCCTCATATGTATGAGAAAGTAGGACAATAAAAAAGGAGAACCGGAGCAGAATCGATGCAACTTGAATTATGGTATTGGAGAATACTGAAAGTACAATGGACTGTCAGAGGAGCAAACTAGTCTGTCTTGGAAGAAGTGCAGCCAGAATACTCCTCGGAAGTGAGACTTACGTCTTTCATACTCTGGACATGTGATCAGAAGGAACCAGTTCCTGGAGAAGGACATCATGCTTGGTAAAGTGGAGCATCAGTGGAAAAAGAGGGAGACTCCCAACGAAATGGACTGACACGGTGACCCCAAGAATGGCTCAAACGTAGCAACAAGTATAGTGATGGTACAGGACCTGAAGTGTTTAGTTCTGCTGGGTCCGAACTGACATAA